TGACTATTGCAATGACACCACCGCATGACTGTTGCGGCGAATTTGTGTTGGTTAGTAAAGCTTCTTGCCTTTGCTGACTCTCGCAATGACAGCACCGCTGACTGTTGCGGATAATTTGTGTTGGTGAGTGAAGCTTCTTGCCATTGCTGACTCTCGCAATGACACCACCGCTTGATGCTGTAGTGAATTGGTGTCGGTGAGTAAAGTTTTTTGCCATTGTTTACTATTGCAATGACACCACCGCTGACTGTTGCGGAGAATTTGTGTTGGTTAGTAAAGCTTCTTGCCATTGCTGACTCTCGCAATGACACCACCGCTTGATTCTGTAGTGAATTGGTGTCGGTGAGTAAAGTTTTTTGCCATTGTTTACTATTGCAGTGACACCACCGCTGACTGTTGCGGCGAATTTGTGTTGGTGAGTAAAGTTTTTTGCCATTGCTGTCTCTCGCAATGACACCACCCCTTGATTCTGCAGTGAATTGGTGTTGTTGAGTAAATTTTTTTGCGATTGCTGAGTCTTACAATGACAGCACCGCTGACTATTGCGGCTAATGTGTGTTGGTTAGTAAAGCTTCTTGGCATTGCTGACTATTGGAATGACGCCACCGCTGACAGTTGGGGCGAATTTGTGTTGGTTAATAAAGCGTTTTGCCATTGCTGACTCTCGAAATGACACGGCCGCTGATTGTTGTGGCGGATCGGTGTTGGTTAGTGAACGGTTTTGTCATTGCTGACTCTTGTAATGACACTAGCGGTGTGTGTTGCGGTGACTTGTTGTCGATTCGTGAATGATATTGTGGTTGTTGACTTCAGCTGTTACTTTCCGGCTGTTGGTAAATAAGTTTCCCGGTTGGTAGTCTTTAAATCGCAGCATCGCTGTTAGGTGTGGTGAAGGGTTTCGGTTGATTTATGCTTGTGTGGTTCTGACTTTGTGCTTCGGTTTGATTGTGATTTCAGTTTCGTTTTGTGTGGAGCACCCCGCGTGTTTATATATGCTTGTTGGTGTGGATTCTCATCAAAATGTGAGATCTGGGTTATTCTTACAGGAAATCGGTGTACGGCTTTAAGGTTCCGTGAGTGTAGTCGGTATTTATGTGGGTAGAAATAGTGCATGGCTAATATTAATAGCTGTTTAGATTTTTTCAATAAGCACCTTGAAACGTGAATGCATTCGATGGATGGTTGTGGTTATGGCGATGAGAGTGTGGCGAAGTGTTTGCTGAAGATGGTTTTGTTTTCGTTGTGTTTTGCGTTCTTTTGATTTTGTTTTTTCTTCATGATGGCTAGTGGGATGTTAGCAGGACATGTTTGGAAGTTTTTTTAGCTTCTACTTGTTTTATGCTTATGGTATTATGTATTGTTTTTATCGAGGAGATCGCACAATTTTGGGTTGATGTCTGTGTGGACTGTTTGTTAGTGAGATTTGTTGTCGATTGATTTCATGAACGATTGGAGCTCATTACTTTGATGTGTTGGTCTTTTAATTTTAAAATATGCGCAATCGATGAGTTGTTTATTGAAGGGATTTTTCGTTGGTATGTGCTGTCATACACTGGCTGGGAAGGATGTATTTGTTGTATTACATTTTATACGGTGCATGGAGACGAATTTTTGATGGCGTTGTGCACGAAATCGGATGAATGCAGTCTTGGTGACGAAGTATCGTCTATCTAATTGGTGGTACGTAGGTAGCAGATATAAAAATTGCGTGGTGTTAGAATGTATTTGTGTGTTGTCTAGTTTTTGTTGAGTTATGATTTAATGTGTTTTGCTTTTCTTTTATTTGTGGCGTCGTTGACGGTAGTTGTAATATGAGTTATGTAGGGAGTAGCGTGTAATCATCTAATTTGATTTTGTTGAGTTAGTGTTTGTATAAGATTTTGAAGAACATTTGATCAGAAATAAAGGTTGTAACTTGTTTATTTAAATGTTAGGGTGTAATTTGTGTTCCATACGTTTCATGTAAATCATTTATTGTCTGGTATCGTGCATTTTGGTGTATGCTATGTTTAATGACATATTAGAATATTGATTGATAGTCTGCATAGCTTGACGTAACAGGATACCGCATTTTGAGATATTGTCTTATTGGATGATGGAACTGAGTACATTTTCAGGAATCGCAATATTATGTGCGCCTGATTATGCCATGGATGAGTGTTTTGTAGTTGTTTTATGATCGAGTAGTACGACACAGCATGTTTTTAGTCAAAGGTTACATTGGATATAAAGATGTTTGTAAACGAAGTTGCCCGAAATCGATTTCTAAAATAAGTATCATCAAAAAATGTACTATAGTTTTTAATCGATATGGTATGATTGGATGGTTTGAAAGACAGTGATTCTTCGATCTTTTACCTATGATCCCATTTTACACTATATTGAGATATAGGCCGATTTTATGATATATTTTCTCATTCTGCTAATGTATTGCGTGAAATAGCAAAAAACAGCATTATATTATCGCTAAATGCAATCTAATAGAGAAAATTGAAACTTCGTCCAATATGAGTAAATTTCGAAGTTAAGGAAGTTTACTGAACGGGGTTCCTTACGACATTTTACGAAGACTCAGAGAATTGAACAAATATTGGAATCCTTTAAAGTATTTTTAACGAAAACTAGGGTAGCACACTAATGTTGCCTTTAACTGAAAACTAGGTATTGATCGAAACTTTGTACAACATTCAGTATGTTATCATCAACTTTGCACATATTTCATAAATAACTATCTGTATTCATTTACACCTATCTCTAACTCGCGTATCTGCTTCGGCAATCTGACCTTCTTTTTTATATATATACTTATGCTGAATTCTTGCAAATGCTTCTATCTACCGACACTTGTGTGTGTTTTCTATGGTGGTGCTTATACGCAAATGTCGTCTGTTTATGTTTTTTCATATTAAATAATACTGAACGGTTGTGGTTTTGTTCTAATCTGATAGGAATATAGGAAAAATCAAGTAACATAAAAGCATATTTATGAAGAGTGTCACAGTTGACATGAATAT